CAGAATCAGCCCCAAGTTTATCATTTATTTTGTTCTGATTCAAGCCCAACCTTGCAGACACTTGAGAAGGTTTGTTTTTCTGATTTGCCCCATCACACTCAATGCAACTCCTCCTATATGTCTTGGTAGGACCAAGCCCCCTGATTCAGACACCATCTTGATTTACTAATAGATATTTTTCTCTAAACACACGTTAACCCAAGAGAGTTATCTTGTGTGATTTAATTCATTAAGCCCATTTAGGATTCAAGCATCAGCGTGGCTGAATTAAAATTTATTACTTTCATTCCAGGCTAAAAAATACAAAATTTAATTTCTGTTTTGAAATTAGTAACGGTCTTCAAATACCTGAAAGGGTGATTATAGAGAGGATGGAGATGGATTTTTCTCTGTGGTTGTAGGGGACAGGACTAGAAGCAATGGCATTAAGCTGCAGCGGGGGAAATTTAGGCTGGAAATTGGACAAACATTTTGACTACGAGAGTAGTTAGGCATTGGAACAACTTCTCAGGCTACCTAGAAAAGTTATGGAATCTCCATGTGGGCAACTTTCAAAAGCAGATTAGACAGACACTTGGCTGGGATGGTTTAGTCAGGGATGACCCTGCCTTGAGCAGGGGGCTAGACTAGATGACCTTATGAGGTCTCTTCTAGCCCTATTTTCCTATGATCCTATGACTGACAAGTTCAATATTAATGATATTACAGCACCTTGAACTTTTCTTTTATTCTCGTCTACATTGGAAGATCACAAGTTTGACAGTGCACATAGCAAAGGGTATGTCTACACTGCATCCTTGGCATGTCCTGAGAGGAATACTCCTGAGTATACCCTCATTGCCCTGCTTCTGCTCACACCAAACCTAGAAGTGCAGCAGTGCAGCTGCTCTAAAGGCAACTCCCCATGGCTGCTCTTGAGACCTCAGTTGCTGCTTTGCTTAAGAATGGCCATGGAGGAAAGCACTGAGGAGCTTTACCACCTCACTCCTGAGTGAGTTCAGGTGGATGGGCATACTTGGTAGCATCCCTCCTGGGATCTGATAAGGCCATACTGTAGACCTATACAACCATTGCACAAACATAGGGTTCATTCATGTAAAATATGCTTGAGTGATATTGGATAGAGCTAGAGTTTGTTATGAAATTCCACTCAATGCCCAGAAATATTTGCTAAAAAAAAAAAAAATTATAGTTTGAAAAGTGTTATGCTACACTCAGACTAAGCTGCAGTCTTCAAAGTGTTTATTCCAAATGCAGATGAACTGTTGTTACTAACTGATAAGCAGCTCCTCACAAAGAGTATGGAATGAGATTGACATTTTAAAGATATATTTAAGGCTTTACATACAGAAGATGTTGCCACTTCTACAGAGATGCTCTAGCTTATGACAATAACAATATTGTGTTATTTAGTGAAAAATGAAAGCGTATAGCACAACAAAAAGAAATCTTGGATGACTTCTGTGCTGCTGAAGGGGCACTGACAGGAATGGCATCAACTAAATTAACACTAACCTAAGAAAAAGATATGCAAGGTTACTTTATTGTTTCTTATGCTAGCCTCTATATAGTAAAGTAAAGGGAAATAATAATGGGTTGACTCAAGTGTGTATTGAATAGTAACATGTAAAACTGGGGCAGGGATAAATTTTTGTATTCTTCCTATTAACATGAACCAAATGAACAAATATATCCTGCTATAATTCATGGAGAAAGACTGGCTGACCCCAGGGAGTACTTTTCTCCCCCCTTTCATGGGTAAGAGGAAAATGTCTCTATCAAGTATCTTTCAAAGTACAGGAAGATATAAATATTTATGATAGATCTGGTTGAAACTTACCATTTTACGGGAAATTTTGACATATTGAAATCTGTTCTGAAGCAGGAAAAAAACAATTTAAAAAAATTTAAGATAGAAATTTAGCTTTAGAAAATGTCTGAAGAAGATTTCACTTTAAAACTTTTATTTTGAATTTTTCAGGTAAACATTTTATTTACTAGCTCTACATTATTTCATGGAAAAACAGTAGTAGTTCATAATGTAAGGTGTAGAATTATATGAAGTCATCTTAACGACGTATTTTGCACTACTACTAAGTTTTGACAATATGGTAAGATATGTCACGGTAATAAGAACCTAAAGTATTCTACTAAGTATTTTTAAAAATCACTAAGGGCAGGTGCTATTTAATATTGATAGAAACATTTTATTTTCTGAATGAAAACGTCTACTGCTTTTGTTGTAAATGTACAGTTTGACACTTTGGACAAGAAAGCATGTACACACTTACTGACCTAATTACAAGAGCAGCTGTTTTCAAAATCCATGTGTTCAGCTGGGATCATTTTTCTGGGATAATATTTTTCAGGGAAAAAAGACAAAATAAAAGAACATGCACACAAAACCAACCACTACTGTTTTGGGTTTTTTTGATGGACAACTTCCAATTAAACATTTCTGATCAGCTACAATTTAGTACAATGGCTTAGGGTACATCACTGGACTCCCAGGCATGTATCTTATTCTCTGCCAATGTAACCATAAGGATGTTACCAACCTCATATTCATCACATGCCACTAAGGCAAAAATCAAGTGTTTTTTCAGGGTCTGCATCCCGCTTTGTATCAGTTTCAAGCTCCTTCCTTGTCTTTCCAAATGAGCACCTTTGTGCTGTCTTCCACACTACCCCTCATTTGGGATTTTCTCCTTGATCCTTTAAACCTGCTGGCCTTTGTTATCTGGAGCACCTCCCAGCCTTTCATCGCACAAAGTAAGCAAACAAAAACCTTATTGCATTGGACCCTGGGCTGGGTCTGCTGTGGCCTCAGCCTTCCTCTCTCAGGCTTGTCCTCCTCATAGCTTCTGCCTGGTGCTTTTCCTTCATCTCTCTGGCCTGTTCTGCCTGCTGGGGTTTTTGTTTCCCAGTGAGCCAGGCCCTCATTAAGCTTCCCCCCGCTGCAGCCCTTCAGTCTAACTAGCCGCCTTTCCTTAAGGCCACCCTGTTACAAAAAATCTTTTTAAAGAGAGCAAAACAACAGAAAATTAAAAATGTTAAACTAAAAATTGTCATTCTGCATACTGCAGCAAACTAAATTTATAATCTCTGACTCTGCGCTCATCCATCACTTAACGACCCCCCCCCCCC